GTCACCAATGGAAAATTAAAGGTTCTCGCTTTTCTCCCATTACAATGTAAGATAATTAAAGCCAAGACCAATAAAATGTTGAACATCTTTATTCAGAAATTTAATCTCCACTACATCAGGCAGGCATTTAAATGCTTTAGGCCATCTGCTGGCACCTTCACTGAGTGGGCCAATGACAAAGCTATAGTCTCTCCAAGTGGTTTTGCCAATGCCCGACCAGAGAGAGAAAATGGGCCTGGCAAGTGGACCCTCTGCTTTGTGTTGACAGGCTTAGGCCCTGGTGCCTGCTGGCTCTAGCTAACAAATCCAAAAGAATTTTTTTATTGAAATAGACAAACTACCTTAAAGAGATATTAACTAAAATATGTCACATGGGAGTGTTAGATTCTGCTATGTACTAACTATTATTATGAAGCCTGAATCTCTGCTCATCTGTGAAGGTGTGCTGGCTGTCAGCATAGGACTGTAATAGCAAGTCCCCATTGTAAAGACAAGACTATCCAATGCAGACCATTATGGGATGGCAACAGCATGGACATACACAGAAAGGGGTCCACAGAATGTGGATATAAACTTATTAGAGCGAGAGATGAGATAGGTAGATAGATGATGGATAGATAGATAGATAGATAGAAGGAACTGACCACCAGTGACAGAGATGCAACGGTGTTCCATGAATGTGGGTACTGTTATTGGCAAAGAAACATGGTGGGATTGTATAAGCTGTGTGGTGTCAGGTCAAAAAACGTGCTCTTGAGCACATTACCTAACCTCTTTGAGTCTGTTCATGAATACAGGGCAAGTAGTTAAATAAGCTAAACTTTCTAAAAGTTTATAGAGACTTCTGCTTCCAGGAAGATAGAGTAAACATATTTTCTCTCTTCCTCCTACTAAGTACATACAATAAAACCCCCTGGTTTGTTTTATGCATAAAACAACTATAAGTCTAAAAGGTGAATAAAATAACACAGACTACTAGGGACCTTGGGACTCAAAGAACTGTGTGACAGTGAGTTCCCTGGGGCTTCTGTTTGCCTCATATATCCCAGCCTGAGTGCTGGGGGAGCCAACCACCAGAAACACCAACGGGCACAGACAAGAAGAGCCCTAACAAACGTTTGCTCTTTCTAACCAAAGGAACGGCAAGGGGGCAGCCTGGAAAGACACAAAACTTTTAGAAAATAAGTACTCTACTGTAGCTAAATACCATTACAAATAATTGTGCCCCAGCCCACCATACCAGCAAGGATCAGTGATGGCCATAGACTTCCACCCTCTCCAAGCTGTCAGGAAAGCCCCCAGTCACCACATCAGAGTGCTGTCAAAGAAGACCAAGGAGGAGGCCAGGATTTCTCTTCTCCAATTGCAGTGACAAGTCCTCCCTCCTGCCATGGTGTCAGATGATACCATCTGGGGAGCCTGGACTTCTACTCCCACCTGGTACTAAGGAAGTAGCCCTCTCCATCCCTGCTGGGGTGATGTGAGAGAAGGCCTAGTGGAGAGACAGGACTTTGACCACCACCCAGCAGTAATGAGGCCAGCTCCACCAGTGATGTCCATGGGGGCCACATGGGGAGCAGTAACAAGGCATTGCTATATCTCCCAGACAGGAAAATATCAATTGAGGCATAACAGGAGGCCAGGACTCTCACTGCCAACCAGAAGTAACAAAGAGCAGCCCCTTGAACATCAGTGCAATTCAACTGGGGAGCCTGAATTTCTACCCATACCTGGCAGCACCTTCGCCATTTTCCTGCTGAGGAAGTACAAAGGAAGCTGGTTAAAATAGAAGGTTTAAGTAAATGAGTCTCATAACATAATAACCAAAACATCCAGGTCTCAATAAAAAATCAGTCATCATATCAGAAACCAGAAAGATCTCAAACTGAATGAAAAAGACAGCCATAGATACCAACACCAAGATGGCAAAGATGTGAGAATTATCTGACAAAGATTTTAGAGCAGCCACAGTAAAAATGTTTTTACAAACAATTGTGAACATGCTTAAAATAAGTTTTAAAAATAGAGTCTTAGTAAAGAAACAGAAGATATAAAAAAGAAGTAAATGGAAATCTTAGAACTGAAAAATGCAATAACTGAAATTTTTTCTCAATAGCAGATCAAATGAAAGGAGACAGAGGAAAGAATTAGTGATCTTTCAGATAAAAGCAATATAAATTATGCAATCTAAGTAATAGAAAATAGACTTTAGAAAATCAACAGATCCTTAGGTACCTGTGGGACTATAACAAAAGAGCTAACATTCATGTTATCAAAGTCCTGGAATGAGAAGACGGAAGACTGGAAAGTAAAAGAAATATGGCTAAACTTCCCAAATTTGGCAGAAGACATAAATCTATAAATTCAAGAAGCTGAGTAAATTCCAAATGGGGGAAAAGAATCCACATCAAGACATCATATTCAAATGTTGAAAACTAAAGATATGAAAAAATGTTTGAAAGCAGTGAAAGAGAAACAACACGTTACACATAGGGGAAAAAGAGTTAGAATATCAGTAGATTTCTCATCAGAAACCATGGAGGCCAGAAGGAAATGGGACATTTTTCAAGTACTGAAAGAAAAGAACTGTCACCCCAAAATCCTACATTCAGTGAAAATATCCTTCAAAAATGAAGGGAAGGCAACAGAGTGAGACTCTGTCTCAAAAAAAAAAAAAAAAAAAAAATGAAGGGAAAATCAAGGCATTCTCAAATAAAGAAAACTAAGAGAATTTGTTGCCAGCAGACCTGTCCTAAAAGAAGGATTAAAGGATGTTGTCTAAACATAAAGGATACTGTGAGAGAAGGAATTGTGATCATCATGATGAAAGAAAGAACACAATAAGCAAAACTATGGGTAAGCATGCCAGGCTTTTTTTTCGCTTCCTATACAATTGTAATGCAGTTTCTTCTTTTTTTTTTTTTTAATTTTTTTTTTTTTTTTGTAGTGACAAGGTCTCACTATGTTGCCCACTCTGGTCTCAAACTCCTGACCTCAAGTGATCCTCCCACCTCAGCTCCAAAAGTGCTGGGACTATAGACATGAGCCACTGTACCCTGCCTTAATGCAGTTTCTATTAAAATCTCAGCAAGGTTTTTCTTAAATAGATACAGATAAGATTATCCTAAAATTTATATGGAAAGACATAGGAACTAGAATAGTTAAAACAACTTTGAAGAAAAGGAATAAAGTGGGAGGAATCAGTCCATCCAATTTCAAAACTTATTATAGAGCTACAGTTATCAAGACTATGTGGAATTGATGGAAAGATAGACACATAGATCAATGGAACAGAATAGAGAAACTTAAAATAAACCCAACCAAAAAGGTCAAACTTTTTTGACAAAGATGCAAAATTAATTGCATGGAAGAGGAAAAATTTTACCTAAATCTCACACCGTGTAAAAAAAAATTTTGAAATGAATGACAGATTTGAATGTAAAATGTAAAACTTTAAAACTTTTAGAAAAACATAGAAAACTCTTCAAGGTCTAGGGCTACACAAAGAATTCTTAGACTTTACACCAAAGGATAATCCATAAAAGGAAAATTTGAAAAATTGGACCTCATCAAAATGAAAAACTTTTGCTTTTAACCAAACCAAAACAAAATACACAATAACTGTTGGCAAGGATGTAGAGAAATAGAAACCCCTGTGCACTGTTAGTGGGAATGTAAAATAATGCAACCACTATGGAAACAGTATGGTGGTTCCTCAAAAAATTAAAAATGTCATTACCATGTGATCCAGCAATTTCAGTTCTGAATATATACCCAAAAGAATTGAAAGCAGGGACTCAAACATACATTAGTACACCCATGTTCATAGAAGCGTTTTTCATAATAGGCAAAAGGTGGAAGCAACCCCAGTGTCTGCTGATGGATGAATAGATAAACGAAATGTGTTGTGTACATCTGTACATACAATGGACTATTATGCAGCCTTAAAAGGAAAGGAAATTATTCTTACACATGCCACAGCATCAATGAACCTCGAGGACATTATGCTAAGTGAAGTAAGCCA